ATATGTTTGTGATGCATTTTTTTTTTAAAGCACTTCTAATGTATGCTCAAATAGAAGAAATTAAGGTTCTCTTCTGCCTTGATCATAGAATCAGAGTGTTTTGTGTTGGAAGTGGTTTGTGTTAGTTCCAACCTACTTGCCAGGGGCAGAGACACGAATTTGCTCAAAGCCTCATCCATCCTGGTCTTGTGATTAGAGCTGGATCCGTGAAAAACAGCAGTGAGACCATTCCACAAGGATTTTAGCTTTAAAATACAATTCTGTCCCAAAGCCAGAAAACACCAATGCTTTCCATTAGTATATTAAAAGCATCCCAGATCTATAGCCTTGCATGTATCAGCTTTGAGGAAGATAAATGATGGAAGAAAAGTGATGTGAGTGCATGGAACAGGAGCTGACCTGCTAATTTCATTGTGGGTTTTCTTTCTTTTTTTTAAATACTCTCATTAAAGTTCATTGGGGCTCTTAAGTGTGAGAAGATACCTGCGCATTCTAAAGTGCATGAAAATTCCACAAAGTAATGACTTTTCAAACTTCTTGAAGGAAGAAGGTGGTTGAGAATGGAAGGAGGAGAAGGAGCAATGGGCAGGTTGCAGCTGTTTGAAGTGACAGCTCAGAGGATTTACAAATGTAGCTGCTATGACTACATTGCTTGAGTCACAATAAAGAGTAATAGAAGTGGAGGTGTTGAGAGACAATGACGAAAATTGATGGAAGGGTAGCAATGCATTTAAACATACAAAAGATTTGGAAATGGAGGAGTCACAGAAAAAGGAAATCGAGGAATATAAATGAGAAAAACCCAGAAAATGGATATAACAATGCCTCAGGCAGCTCAGCATGTGTCAGATGTGTGCTCTAGTAAACAGTATTTACTAAAATATCAGGATTGTTCATGTGGCTTTGTATTGTGAAGAATATATTTCACCTTCTGTAACAGGGAGCAGCTGTGAATATTTGTACTGGTATGAGGGATTGCTGCTTGTATTTAACTCTAATAAAGCTATTCGTTTCCATATGGGGAAGTAGTATGCACAGACTGGTGAAATTACAGAACCAGGTTGCTGAAGTCTGACCAAGTCCAACAAAAAAAGGGCTTGTGCATGATGCTGAAGGAATATTCTTCTTTATTGTGGTCTCCTTCAGTGGTGGGAGTTGCTGTCATCCGTCATAGGCACCACAGTAATTAATTGCAAGAGATTGTGAGTAATGGCAGTGGATGTTTTTTAAATAGTGTTCACTTCTGGAAGTCTACTGATAGAATGAGTAGAGAGAGTCCACACAGAAAACCTAGAATAAGATGGAGACATCACTGGCATCAGTGTCTTGAAGATGTGCTGGATCAAATGGGGTACGGCAAAGGTGATTGGATGAAGAAAAAGTATGATACAGCCTTTGAAGTAATGTAGTAGAAGTACATGTGTCAAGCATGGTCATATTTAGACCTCTCATTAGTCAAACCTGCAAGTTCTCTGAAGGTCTTATTACCATCAGCCTGAAAAATGGCAGCTCTGGGGGAGAATATACAAAATCTGTAATTACCTTAAGCTCACCAAAGAGAACTAAACCAAAAAATTCAAATAGCTTCTGTGTAACAGTAGCACATGAAATGAGTAGAAAGATGCTGGGGTTTAGGTAGCAAACTAAAATGAGGATATTAGTATAGCTGTTCTTCAAAATCTAAGGATTACAGCTGTTACATATGTTCCCTGTGAAATGAAATCAGACTACTACAGTAAAGGCAGAGGAAGGAAGAATAGTATCTATCATTGGCAAGACCTTAATTCTGAGCTGGAGAGATCAGTGTTATAGAAGCAATGTGATCAGAAGTCTCCAAAATAATTGTGTGCTGGAAAAGGCAGAATTTCTTGATTTTTCTTTATTTCTACCAGAATATCCCTTCCTCTTCTCAATTTGACTGAAAATACAAAATTAAAGAACTGAGAAAATGTTGTAGTTAAAATGCAGAACTGTTATTCTGTACTTCCTATCATTCATCTATAGGAATGCAAAGTCAGTAGCTAGCATGTAGTCTGTGTACTACCTTGAAATGAGGAACTCTTTTAAGCCTTTCTGCAGATGACATTTCTTCAGTTTACTGTTAGCTGCTGTACCTTTTTTTTGCCATTATTATCTTTTTCACAGTATCACAGTATGTTAGAGATTGGAAGGGACCTCAAAAGATCATCTAGTCCAATCCCCCTGCCGGAGCAGAAACACCTAGATAAGGTTACACAGGAACGTGTCCAGGCGGGTTTTGAATGTCTCCAAAGAAGGAGATTACACAACCTCCCTGGGCAGCCTGTTCCAGTGTTCCGTCACCCTCACTGAGAAGAAGTTTCTTCTCAGGTTTAAGTGGAACCTCTTGTGCTCCAATTTGTATCCATTACCCCTTGTCCTTTCATTGTTTGCCACTGAGAAGAGCCTGGCTCCATCCTCGTGACACTCCCCCTTTATATATTTATATACACTAATAAGGTCACCCCTCAATCTCCTCTTCTCCAAACTATAGAGACCCAGCTCCCTCAGTCTTTCCTCATGAGGGAGATGCTCCACTCCCTTAATCATCTTAGTTGCCCTGCGCTGGACTCTCTCCAGCAGGTCCCTGTCCTTTTTAAACTGAGGGGCCCAGAACTGGACACAATATTCCAGATGAGGTCTCACCAGGGCAGAGTAGAGGGGAAGGAGGACCTCTCTCGACCTACTAACCACCCCCCTCCTAATACACCCCAGGATGCCATTGGCCTTCTTGGCCACAAGGGCACAGTGTCGGCTCATGGTCACCCTGTCGTCCACCAGGACCCCCAGGTCCCTCTCCCCTACACTGCTCTCTAACAGGTCGTTCCCCAGCCTATACTGGAACCTGGGGTTGTTCCTGCCCAGATGCAGGACTCTACACTTTCCCTTGTTATATTTCATCAAGTTATTCCCCGCCCAGCTCTCCAGCCTGTCCAGGTCCCTCTGGATGGCAGCACAGCCTTCTGGCGTGTCGGCCACCCCTCCCAGCTTAGTGTCATCAGCAAACTTGCTGATAGTACACTCAATTCCCTCATCTAAATCGTTGATGAATATATTAAATAATACTGGTCCCAGTACCGACCCTTGAGGCACTCCACTAGATACAGGCCTCCAACTAGACTCCGCCCCATAGACTACAACTCTCTGGCTTCTCTCCTTCAGCCAGTTCACAGTCCACCTCACTACCCTATCATCCAGACCACACTTCCTCAATTTAGCCGCAAGGATGCTGTGGGAGACCGTGTCAAACGCTTTGCTGAAGTCAAGGTAGACCACATCCACCGCTCTACCATCATCCATCCACCGTGTTATTTCCTCATAAAAGGCTACGAGATTGGTCAAGCACGACTTCCCCTTGGTGAAGCCATGTTGACTGCCCCTCATAACCCTCTTATCCTTGATATGCCTTAAGATGGCACCAAGGACAAGGTGTTCCATCACTTTCCCAGGAACGGAGGTGAGGCTAACCGGTCTATAGTTACCCGGGTATAGTAATGTATTTCTTTTTATGTATGTACTGTATATTAATATATGATACAGTGTGGCTTGAAGAAAGCTGACAAAATGAATTCTACCTTCTGATACACTGCTAATGCACAGTCAATAAGAGCTTTAAGTGTTTTAAAAGTCATTGCCTTATAAATCAATGTGCCACAGTTGGGAATTTTTAAGAAATCCTACAGAATTTCATAATAAAAAATACCCTGGTCTGTTCTGGGCTCATCCACTGTGATAAACAGAGGATTCAACAAAAGTATCAATGATAGCCATAATTCAGCATCTTTATCTAGTCTGTTTTCCTGTGTGTCATTGCAGAATTGCTTCTGACAAAGGGAAAAGATTTCCAAGAATGTGTAACTTAGTACTCACTTGTATGTAAGCTGAAGTGTTCAGAGCACAGTTATTAAAGCTGTATGTGCTGCAGCTCTGGGTGAGTGCTTGATAATGCTCCTGCGCTGTGGATGGAAGAGTTGCTGTGTAGTTAGATTTGATTGGTGCTGGGCATGCAGGGAAGTATTGTGCAGCCTTGAAAGTGTTAATTAGCCTGATAGCCTACATGAAGCAACTGGCTACCTAATACACGCAAACAGTTTAAAGTTTTGACAACATTAATGAAGTAATGAAATACTAAGCTGCCATGTATCTGCAGGACTTGTATGGCAGCTGGGAAAGCGCAGTTGGAGATGCTGCTGTACGGATTGTGGACAAACTGTGAGGAAGAGGTGCCTGTGAGATCTGAGCAAACACTAACCATTTCTGCAAGTATTCACCTTCTGAAATGAATTAACTTTTAGTTTTACTCATGGAAAATGGGAAGCTTTGCTCAGATACAGGCTGTCACTCTGCTCTAGGACAGCATATTTTGTTGCAGAAATGTAAGCATATTTATACTGTCCCTGGCATTTAAATTATTTTGTATTAGTCTTATTAAAAAGTTATTATGGCTAGATACACTGTAAGCCAGGAAGGCCAAACCCTTTAAACTGATTTTTGAATGAAAAATGGATAAACCATAGACATTTACCAGTTGCTGTGCCCTCTGACTACTTGCAGCTTTTACTATCAAGAAGCTAAAGCTGGTTTTAAGCTACCTTATCTCTAGGGAGAAACTACTGTTGCTATTGCATGTCTCCACGGGTTTCTCTCTGAAACACTTTCTTACCACCATTTTGGTTGCAAACTTATTTTCCTAGGTTTGTAATCTCTCTTCAACCCATGTATTTTCACGTGTTGTAGTTTTTCTTGCCATTCTCCCTCTTTTCACCTTGCTTCTGAAGAGTGTTGCATTCTGCAATTCTGCTGCCTCTCTGCTGTGTGTTTCTGTAGGTATTTCCTAATCTTCTTTCTTTTGTAGCCCTTTTTCCTTCTGCCTCCCAAAAGCTACACAGTATGTATGCACACAAGCGCTTCAGGCTAGACTTATTTAGAAATTTGCCAGAAGCAGGTATTTATGGGTATTCTCTGTTTATTCTTTCATGCAGCTGATGGCTGTTGCTGCTTTGTTTTAGAGCCACAGGAGTGAGTCCTTGAGTGAATAACTACATGTCACCCTGAATAGAACAACCCTCATGTACTTCATCTGCAAAAAACTCAGGAAAACTGGAAACTGCATAATAGCAGCCAGCAGGATAGCTGAGCCAATTCAAGACTTTGGCACCAGAAGGCTTCTGTAGCCATTTTGATGTATCCAAGTCTGTCTCTTCTGTTTCATTCCCAAATGAATTTGCCTCATAAAAAATGCAAAGATAAAACGGCATAAATGTGTGTAGAAAATATCACCTAGCAAAGTCAACAGAGGGGAAAAACAGTGTTGAAAAGAGAATTCTACCACAACCAAACAAGACTCTAAAAATAAAAGAGATACAGTAGTACTAGCCCCAGAATTTGATCATCTGTATACTACAGAGTCTTTATGGAGCAGTGCTGAGCAGAAGTTCAGGACCTACCCAAGTAGAAAGGAGACAATGTAATTATGTTATGGCACACTCAGCTACCCCTCTGTATCTTGATAACAGGCGCTTCTCTTTCTGTTGCTAGTTTTAAGCATATTTAAAATTGTCCTTCCAAAACTGGAAATGTGAAAGCTCAAACCCAAATAAGCTTAGAAATGAACAGGTCAGAAACAAAAGCCACTTTCTAACACAAGTGGAATCCTTCCTCTGTCACTTCAGCTTCAGTGGAAAGGAGGTTGCTTACAAAGTGCCTGACAAGAACAGGCAATATCTTCTTGCCTATTCCTGTAATCACTCAGTGTTCATTATATGGTTGTTTTTTTACCATGATCCTGAAGGTAAAATGATAAAAAAGGAAACCAGATTTCAGCAAGAGCTGCATGGCAGTAACAGCTTAGAGGGGTAATGGTACGAAGTGAAACATGGGAGTTCTCATGCACACTCTTCATGAGCATTTGTATTTTCCTTGCCCCTTCAAGTGCTTGGGAAAATGCTACAGGTCTTCAGCATCAGGCTCTACTCTAAATTTCTGATTTGATATTACTACATGGCTCACACAGTGAATTATTTGTGGGGTTTTGTTTTCTTTGTCCACCTGTAACCATTACTACTAAGCTTGTCTTTAAATGGGGCTTCACAGATATGACATAGACGACCAGAGCCAAGGAGAAGAGCACTGCCCCGCGTCCTTCTCTGCCCAGGGCTGCAGAGAGGGTTGGAGGTCTGTAGAGTCATAAGTAGGAACAGATACATCTTCTCAGCCTGAACACAAAATTAATTGGTAGAAAAGGAGGGTATTGTTTTGCTAACTCAGCATCTTGTCACAGCTGAAGGAGGAGTGTGGCTTGGTCAGCATGGTTGTGTACGGTGCTGGTAGGGATTAGAGACCTTTCTTCAACATGGACCATTTAGGCTTTCCCCAGCTGAGAGTCACGCTGTCTATCTCTTTCCAGCTTGTTTCTCTACTCCCATAGACTTTGCTTTGTTTAGAGGCAATAGTTTAGTCTTTCACTTTTAAATAGTGAAAATACTGCTTTTTGAACCTTCCATGTTGTGTAATCTAGCTTTACAGTTTGTGGCAGCTTATAGAAGAAAAAAAAGAAAAAAAGTAGCTCTGGTTATGACAAAATGTAAGAATGGTGTTTAATTTATGATAGTGTAACACATTGCTGCAAATTTCATACGGATGAGTGACACAAAAAGCAGTGCTTTAGTTGGTAACATGAGCCAATTTGTGATCATCAAGTGGGTTAATGCAAATGAGAGCTCTTGCCTATCTACTCATGGAGAACCTATGTGGGATGATGGCTCACATTGAGCATGGTGTCCTGTGAGGGATACGGGGAACATTTTTCAAGTGCTTGGGGCTGTGGGTAGATGAGGATGCTCAGAGCACTTTAGTGTCACTGTCATAGAGGTTCTGGAGGAAAGCATATGTGAAAGACTGTCTAGCAGAGGGAAAAGGATTTGAGGAGACTTTTCCATGAGAACTGCTGGAGGTGTGTGAGGGAAAGGGATTTGGATGCCTTCCTGAGATGGAAGATAAAGAAATGTAGCAGAAGTCAACTAAGCCTGCAGGGTTTGGGTCTGAAGAGCCTGTTTTGCCAGAGTGGAGACCTGAATAATAGTGGAATAGATGCTTTGCCAAATGAGAGGCTTCTGAGTAGAGCTTGGAGGAAAAAATGAATCCAAACTACAACTTTGTTGGTGGCCAAAAGTCACAAATTGTTTTTCAGTGACTCCTATGAAAACAATTTTAGTCTGTTTAATTTCTGAGGAATTTAGGAGACAGCAGGTAAGAACTGCCTTAGTTAAGAGATAAGGAAATGACAGCATTTTCAACGTCTTTTCCTGATTGTGACTATTACTCTTTTAAAAATGCCTGAGACTATTAAAACTTGATCTATTGATTTTATGTGATTTTATGTGCTGCAAGTTGCCTTTACAGTGCCTGCCATGTAAAAGGTGCAATTTCCACTTGGTATATATCAAGATGAACTAGTTCTATATGGAGAAATAACTCGCATAGCTGCTGCAATGTTGAATCTAGACAGATCTATGACACTATTTGCAAATAAGTCCTAAGAGAATACAGCATCTCAAAAGGGGAAGTAGAACTTTCAATATCTTAAACACAGGTTTCAGATACTGAAAAGAAAATAAAGGCAAGATGCTCCCCCCTTCCTTTTGGGGAAATAAACACTGCCAGGAAAAAAAATTGCAAATACATATTTGGCAAAAAATGGTATTTTTTTCTCCTGTGTCTCATGATGAAGTATGAATAATACCAGTACTTACAGCCAAGGCCAGTTCTGCTTTAACATTTTTACTTACTTTTTTACTGTTTGTTTTCTTTAAAAAATGAAATTCTTTCAATATAAAAATACATTGAATTCAAGGGATTCAGTGTTTTAAGATTCTGCAAGCTGGATCATAGCCTGTGATCTTTTTCTTTAGTTCTAATTTGCAGAGTAACTGGCTTTCTCCCCAGTGAGGATTAAATGATCCCCTGTGAATGTTTCTTAGCTCTCAGACAGCCCCTGGGGCCTCTGATCCCCTGCTAAGGAGCACAGGTTCAAAGAAGAAAAACCTGTTTGTATTAAGTACATAACCTTTCTAAGCATAACTATCTAAAAAATTTAAACTGGGCACTTTTATTTAATCACATTGGGATGGGGAGCAGAATGATTCAGTCTCTGGTATTACTGTAATATATTATGCTACAGATAACTATGAAATTTAAAACCATCGTGTTTTTTACACTGGCATATAACTTCTGGAGCTGACTGTGGATTTTTGTGTAATGATTGTGTTGGCTGTTTTCTTAATTTTTCAGAATTGAATAGGGCGAGCCAGAATACCTTTCATTTTCCAAGAAGTCAAGAGTATGGCTGTGTACAAATTAGTGACAACCAGTCCTGGCTTCAAGGTGCAGAGTTTAATCCGGCTTGTGTGTACTCATTAGGTATGGGAACATTGATTCATGAAATACATTATATCTATTTAAAGGCAGGATTTAAAAATTAACCTGAAATTGGTGCATTCTCTACTAGTGGATGTTATGTTGATCCCTCTTCTAACAGCTCCATCACATATGAAAATATTGCCATTGAAATCTTGCACACAAAGGCATTCACCTGTAACTGTGTTTGTAAAAGGTCAGTCCACATTGAGAACTAGATTTGTCGCTGTTGTGTCATCCTATGGCTAAATCTGAGGGAAGATGCTATTTCTTTTCTGCTTTTCCCCTCTCCTATTTCTAACAAGGACAATTCTTGCTCTCTGGTGCTCTGCATGGAGTCTCTACACTTTTCATGGTACACAGCAAGTGTGGAATATTTGAGAGCAACATAACAGAAGGAAAATCTTTTTGGTTTGTTTTTTGTTTTAGCTCCTGTCTTATTGATCCTGACTTATCAGGGAGAAGATACTAACGTGTTGTCAGATAGGCTGATGGCTGCCTACATCACAGTATGATTTATGATGTCACAATAGACAGTAAGACAAAGGAAAAAACTTCAATTTACTCTTAATTTTCTGGGTCCTGGCTATTATACTTGACTAGCAAAGTGCTGTTTTAACTCATGTTCACTTTTATGCACTTACCTTTCTATGGTTGCAACACTGACCATGAAAAACTTTCTCATGAGACACCAGGATCCAGACTTTTTGGAAACCATCTTAATTTCTGTCACAATATTACTGTTACTAGCTGTGTTACTAAATTAAGTTGAATTATATACACACTTCTCTAACCTTAGCATTTCTCTATGTTTTTATTAAAAATAATCAAAACCAGATTTACTTAATCCTTTTTTCTTCTCCTTTTCTTCCAAGACTGTAGGGCAAATAGCTGAATTTCTTCAGGTTTGCGTGTGCTTGCATGAGGTGAGAGGGGTGGAAACCTTATTGCATGAAAGTCAAATCAGCAAGAACAGCTTATTTCTTACTGCTAAAAAGACTTAAACTGAGCTTTTCACTTGGCTCTTCCAGCACTGAATTCTATATCTGAAATCTATGAAAATTATCTTTTAAACTCCAGAGACTCTTGTTTGACTAACTCTTAAGACTCGAATGAAACCAACTGTTTGAAGACTGTTATGGTCCTGGAAGGGAAGAGCCAAGACAGACACTGGGATGCAGATCACTGGTTTTATGGGTGCATCATGCTCAGGTCACACCTATAGCTCTCTAAAAACTACTGCTCATCTAAGGAGGATTCAAACTCTTTGAAAGCTGCAAGCATGGTCGTCACAGTATTTTGGTAGCCCTGATAACCCAGAAACAGCCAAAGTGTCAGGTAGTGATAATGTTTTTGTCTGTGATGACTCAGGCAGGGCGATCTATAAGTGTTACTCCACTGGGTTTCCCTGACAAAAGACATTTTGGCAGTAGACACAGGGATTGGTCCTCAAAGTGAGGCAGAAATGAGACAAGCAGACATAGTTGGTGATGTGATGAGGAAGAAAAGAGTCCAACAATGTGTTTGCTTCTTGCACTGCTGTTTACACACAAAAATGCCTGAAGTTGTAGCTAGGTTGTGAAATGAGTACTGATTTCAGTTTGGTAAGCTGCTGTAGTGTATCTTATAGTTGATTAACTGGAATGTATTTGTCTGTGTGAGGAATTATTTAAGCCTTCTTTTCACTCTGCTACAAAAAGACCAGCTTGTTTCCACTGATGTTTGTGTGTGACTACAGCTCCTTCTTGCCATTAATTTCCTCTTTGCTCTCTCTTAAGATGTGTTGGTAATCACTGCTATTTGTCGTCAAGCAAAGGTATACAGCTGATCAGGGAGTGAAAAAAAATATGCACTGGACCCAGCTGCTCCTTGGGTTGATGTATCTGTGTTTCTGTCCTCTAGAAGCTGAAAATGTTTGACTTCAAAAAGGGAAAGATGAGGACAAAAAGGCTGTTCTCAGTT